TATACAGCTGTGCCAACTGAGGCTGAACTCCAGCTGAAGTTACGCAACCAAGACGAGAAATAAATCAAGGTCGAAGAGAGACAGCACGATAAAGAGAAAGAAGAGATAATGGTGTTTTACCTGCTCTGATACTGAAGATGAAGTTACACAATCGATGTTACTTTAGTATCATTCAGATATTAATATTTTGAATTAGTATTTAGTTTTATATGTTCCATTTTCATTTTAGATAAATTTAAGTTTTAATTGGTAATTATTGGTGTGCTAAAATAACCAGTAGCGTCTACAGCTGTGCCAACTGAGGCTGAACTCCAGCTGAAGTTACGCAACCAAGACGAGAAATAAATCAAGGTCGAAGAGAGACAGCACGATAAAGAGAAAGAAGAGATAATGGTGTTTTACCTGCTCTGATACTGAAGATGAAGTTACACAATCGATGTTACTTTAGTATCATTCAGATATTAATATTTTGAATTAGTATTTAGTTTTATATGTTCCATTTTCATTTTAGATAAATGTAAGTTTTAATTGGTAATTATTGGTGTGTTTTTGTCTTTTATTTTTTTACATTTTACATTTATCCAAAGCGACTTACAAATGAGGACAAAGGAAGCAATCAAAATCAACAAGAGAGCAATGATACACGAGTGTTATAACACGTCTCAGTTAGCTTAACGCAGCACACGAAGCAAGGTTTTTTTTTATTATATAATAAATTAAAACAAAACTGATAAAATAGAAAAAGAATAGAGCAAGCTAGTGTTAGAGGCCTTTTTATATACGTCTGTATGGGTTTTTATTAATTTTTATTTACATTTTTTTTTTTTTGGTTTTGTTTTTTAAATAAATTTGCTTTGGATAAGATTTGCTGAAATAAAATGTTTATATTTTTATTTTATTTTTTTATTTATTTTAATTTTCCGGTTTTAGTTAACTATAATATTGTGATACTATTATATTTTTAATAATATTTTAAATAATATTTTGACTGTTTTTCTGTCAATATGGGGTGCTGTGTGTACATTCATGAGGAAAAAAAATTAACTTAAATGATTTTAGCAAATGGCTGCAATATAACAAAGAGTGAAAAATTGAAGGGGGTCTGAATACTTTCCGTACCCACTGTATATATATTATTTTAAAGTTTTAGTATTTTTGTTGTGTTTTTGTAATTTTTATTACAAATTATTGTGAGTGTGTGTGTGTGTGCGTGTGAGAGAGTGTGTGTGTGTGTGTGCATGAACGAATGCATCAAAATAATCATAGAGAGTGTTTTGACTCATCAACATGAAATCAAAGCAGACTAGGTTTAATGCATGCTCTTGGTCTGTACACAAAGAAAAAAGCAATGAAATAATGTTCCTGTTTAACATAATCAACCCTGTTATTTGTGAACCAGCTTCATATAGAGACAATTTCACCATCTATTCAATTCCTCATGGACAAAATCAAGTCGGTTATTAAAATCAAGGGTTATTATCATTAACTAAAACTATTAAAATGTTTTTGGCAATTGAAATAAAGCTAAAATAAAATTAAATAAAGTATAAATAATAGAAAAAAAAATTCAAAGTAAAAATGCTGCCTTTATGCACTAAAATTAACTGGAAATAAAAAAAAATGAAAATAAACTAAAAGTAAATTAAACATTACTATTAATATTTTTAAAAATGACAAAAGAACAAGAAAATTACTAGAAATTTAAATGAAAATATAAAAATAAAATCTAATTTAAAACATTAATAAAAACTATAATAACACTGACACAAACCAGGGTTATTAGTTAACTGAAAATGAAATATAACTAATTTAAAAAATACTTAAATATATATATTTTTAAAAATACAAAAAAAGATAAAAATAAACGCTAATTCAAATATAATAGTATATAAATAATACTAAATTAACACTGACCCAAACCAGTATTATTAGTTAACTAAAATTAAATCTGAAATAAAACATCATAAAAAATACTTACACATATAAAAAAAGAAATCTACTAAAAATATAAAGATAAAAGCCAATTTAAAATAACAATAAAATTATCATAATGTCTAAAAACACACACATACACACACACAATTACAAAAAAAATTGTTTTCGCCAGCACCTGACCAATTAGTACTAGCACTTACCTATTCTATTCTATTCTATTCTATTCTATTCTATTCGGTCTAATTTATTTTAAAAAACAAAAACAAAACAAAACAAAAACACCTTGCTATGTGTACTGTGCTAGACTAACCGAGACTTGTCACTTGTATACTGTTTGTATAAAAAAACGTAATATTTTTATAGTGTAAATATAAATATGTTAAATATTTTTAAATTATTTAAATTATACAACATTTTATAAAATACATTTATTTAGATTTTGACAAAAAATCAAAATATGAATAAAATGTATACACACACACACACACAGGCGTGTTATGGAGACACACTGGAGGAAAAGAGCGCAGTAAACAGGAAGTGAGAGCGAGGGGTCGCTCCGGTGTCTTTGGGGTCAAACAACTAGACCAGACTCAGGAAACAGTCCGGCCAAAACAAACACGGCACACGGAAAACACTTTTGTGTAAAGGAGCGCTAAAGCAAGACACAATGTGATCATGATCCAGAGCACAAAAACACGTTCACAGATCTCCACTCACCATCATGTGCTCCTGATAGAACTGATCTCCGATCAGCTGGAGCTTCTGCCCGATGAGGGTCTCCACGCTCTCCGCCGGATCCATCATGCGCAGGTTCTGCCGGAGAACCACGTCTGGAGGCCGAGAGCGGCTAGGCGGCGCTAGCAGCAGCAGTCCTGTGTTACCTATTCAGAGAAACAGTATTACACACATCATTACAGATAGGGATGCACCGAATGTTCGGCAACCGAAATTATTCGGCCGAAAATAGCAAAAAAAAGCTCTTTCGGCGTTCGGTGAATAAGCAAAAAGACCGAATAAATTGTACCGGACAATGACGTGACACGATCAAATTGCAACCAGCGTAAAGTGAGAGGCGCGCACTCTTTATAATGCTGCATTTTTACAAGGCATGTGACAATGCGATACGTGCGACTTATTCATAATGAGACTCATTTATAAATCTGCTGCCAACAAAAAGAAGCGCTGAGGTCTTCCTGCGCGTTTCCGACAAAATAAAAGTTGACAAAAAGCAAGAACTCCAACATTCATAAATGTTAGTGTTGTTGTAATTTCACTGCTGTCCTGTAAAATAAAATAAAAATTAAGACAATAATAATGATAATTATTACAACAGCTCTGTTGATACATTTATTATAACATACACACATAGTGTTCAAATTGGGATCTGTAATATGTTTTTAAAGAAGTCTCTTCTGCTCAGCAAGGCTGCTTTTAATTTTACAGTAAAAATACACGCCTGATTCAAGAAGGGGGTTTGATCGCCAAAAAATATTGTTTTAGTAACTTATTAATTTTAAGTTAAATTCTGCTTTGTTGGTATAACGTCTGCTAGAATGTTAAAAAATGTGAAATATTTTTAAATTGTTGAGTTGTAATAGATTTTTTTCTTTGAAAAACAAGACAAAACAGTAAAAAGCACATTTTGGCTATTTAATTTATGCAATGTTGAATAAAATTGTCAAAATACATGGGGAAAAAACTTGAAAAACCGTGTTCGGCCTTCGGCCCAGTGTTTCATTTTGTTCGGTTTCGGCTTCAGCCAAGAATTTTCATTTCGGTGCATCCCTAATTACAGATGATATAAGGCACAAACTCTGGTTAATTCACTAAACTTAAACACCAAACGTCTTGTACGCAAAAAATAAAATAAAAATATCACACCCATTTTCTACAAAAAGAAATAGATTGCTTTGCAATCACACATAAAACTAATCTAATGAGCTGTGAGGTTGATAAGTGACAGTACAGTGTATATACCATATACTTTTTTTGCTTTAAATCAAAGCTCTGAGATTATTACCGCTATATATAAATTATAATTTATCAAAGACTAAAATATTTTATTAAACTTGAAGTATAATTTTTAAAAAATATATAAAATATATAGTTTTTTTTAAATAAAAGTTTAATATTGCACTTTCGCATTTGATTTTTTTCAGAAGTCAGTGTGATTTCAACTTGTATATAATTAAGACTTAATTTTTTACAAATATTTTATTAAACTTGAAATATAGAAATATTAAAAGTATTAAAAAAAAATAAAAGTTTAATATTGCACTTTCACATTTTTTTTTTTTCAGAAGTCAGTGTGACTTCAACTTATAATATTCAACTATACGTCTCAATTATATATATCTTTACATATTTTATCAAACTTGAAGTATTAAATTTAGTGTTGTACTCGAGACCGGCCTTGGTCTTAAGAGCATTTTGTGAAGGTCTTGATCTCGACCGCATTGGTACTCAGTCCTGTCTTGACTACAACACTAATTAAAGTATTAGAAGTATAAACTATACGGTTTTATTTTCATAATTATTGCTTCAAATTAAAGTTTGTAATGTTGTCAGAGCTGGCTGTTTGGTTCAAGTCTCTGAAATGTTTTCACTTTGGAGAAAAATAATTGGAAAACCAAAGAATATATTACTAATATATTACTATTGCGCTCTATAAAGGGAACCTAGCTTCTGGATCTTTGTTTACGTTTATGTTTAAGCATTTGGCAGATGCTTTTATTTATTTTTTAAATTCACTTAGTGTCTTCAAGGTACAACAGTTCAGCTCATGATGGGAATCGAACCCTTGTGTTTGGTGTTGCAAGCGTCATGCAGCACTGATTCTACATCTGATCACATAGAGTGCATGTGAACGCTGGCGTGGTTTGCATTGCAAAGCGACTGGTTACACACAAAGGTAATGAAGCCGCTGAGGTCAGGAATACACACAGACGCCCGTCTAGGGATCCTGTGGCTTACCGTAGAGAAAGCGTCTGGGCTCCACATTCACTCGGCAGGGCAGCATGCCGCTGGGGGATAGAGGGGGTCTCCCTGCTGTCTCGGTCTGCTTTATCTGAACGCGGGAGGAAGGCCAGTGCTGTAGACCCTTCCTGCGCACATCATCCTCATCCTCATCCATCAGCCGAGCTCCTCACCTGAACACAAGAGCAGAGGACACTGCTCAGACTAACTCAAAACAACAACACAGACTCTATGAACTGTAGTGACTAATCAACCAATATATATATATATATATATATTAGGGCTGGACGATATGGCCAAAATTTATATCACGATATATTTCTTAATTTCGGTCGATACGATATAATTCCGATATCGATATGAACACTATTAAAAAAGCCTCATAAATACGGCCAAGAACGGCCACAACAGATGTCTGTACCTACAAACTTATGAAAAATTAATTTGCCAACTCTATGAAACCTACTCCTATAAAACTATATAATATTTTAGGAAAAAAATGGCGCAAATAAATAAATGTTCACCTTTTATTGGTATTTAGCCTTCATACAAACAAGAAATATGAAATCACTGTCAAATAAATCTCAGACTCTACTGATTAATATTAATATTTTTTACTTCAAACTATAGGCTAACATACCAGTCAAAAGTTTTTGAACAGTAAGATTTTTAATGTTTTTTAAAGAATTCTCTTCTGCTCACCAAGCCTGCATTTATTTGATCCAAAATACAGCAAAAACAGTAACATTTTGAAATATTTTTACTATTTAAAATAACTGTTTTCTATTTGAAAATATAATTTATTCCTGTGATTTCAAAGCAGAGCTTTAGCATCATTACTCCAGTCACATGATCCTTCAGAAATCATTCTAATATTCTGATTTGCTGCTCAAAAAACATTTATTATTATGATGTTGAAAACAGCCGAGTAGATTTTTTTCAGGTTTCTTTGATGAATAGAAAGTTCAGAAGAACAGCATTTATCTGAAATAGAAATCTTTTGTAACATTATAAATGT